GTTTGGCTAATGCTGGATGCCAGTATAGAATCACCACAGAATCCCTACAGAGCAGAAAGAGGCTATTTGGCTCATTGAGTCTGCACTGACCCTCCGAAGGACATACCACTCAGACCCACCCCTTCCCCACTCCATCCTGCATGGGGATTTACCATGGTTAACCCATGTAACCTGGACACCAAGGGGCAATTTTTTGCACAGCCAATCCACATAACCTGCATATCTTTGGACTGTGGGGGGAAACTGGAGCAGCCGAAGGAAACCCATACAGACACAGGGAGAAAATGCAAACTCCACACAGCCAGTTGCCCGAGGGTGGAATTGAATCCAGGTCCCTGGCAGCAGTGCTAACCACTAAGCCACCATGCACTCCACTGTGGATGAGGGCCTGATATGGTTGGAGCCAGTGGATTGTGCCCTAAGGTGCAGTTTGGTCACCTGGGGTGGCTCAGTGGTTAGCACTGCTGCCTCACAGCACCAGGGACTTGGGTTCGATTCCACCCTTGGGCCACTGTCTGTGTGGAGTTTGCACACTTTCCTTGTGTCTGTGTGGGTTTCCTCTGGGTGCTCCGGTTTGCTCTCACAGTCCAAAGATGTGCAGGCTAGGTGGATTGGCCGTGCTAAATTGTCCATAGTGTTCAGGGATGTGTAGATTAGGTGGGTTATAGGGCGATGGGTCCGGGTGGGATGCTCTGAAGGTCAGTGTGGACTTATTGAGCCGAAGGGCCTGTTTCCACACTGTAGAGATTCTATGATTCTGCTCCTTTAGAGCAAGCAGCAAGCCAAATTCACCTGCTACCCGCTCTGATTTCCATTTTCTTGGTGTCCAGCTTGTTTAGCACATTTGGTAATGTAGAAGACTGAGGCATATTGGGCTGCCAACAATGTGTTTAACAAGTGTTTAAATGGCAACTTGCTCCGCTCCTTCTCAAAAGCGGAAAGGTTGCTCCCGATATCAAGATGGGCCTTGCCAGACTTCTTGTCTGATTCTGCCACAAATCTCACAAGCCCTGCCACTCAGGTTCCTATAAGATTCCACCCAGTGTTACTATCAACTTCCAAGATTGTTGTTAGAATCATTGCAGGCTTGAGGATTCTCTCTTGGTTCACAATAGATAATGAAGTTTGGAACTTTTCAGGCAAGGAGTTCAGTTGCTTTATTCCATTACAGTAGAAGGCTTCTAACTGTATTTTGGAACAGTCCATTTGTGAAGATACAGTCTGCAGGTAAAAGAAATAGCTCCACTTCTTTCACGTAGGTCAACTTCTTGGAAGGGCTCTTTCTTTTTCTGGGTAGGAAGTCTTCCCTCTGTAATCTTGATGGCCTACTCTGGTCTGTTCTTGTGAATTAAGGAGATGCTTTCTTCCTAGAAGCTGGTTTACATAATATGACTACTGAATCATCCTTTTATCCATACAAAATAATTTGACGGGCCAAGCCAATGGGGAATTGTTTTATATCCCCATCAAGACCATAAGAAACTACAGAGAGTTGTGAACACAGCGCAGTCCATCACAGAGGCCAACCTTCCATCCATTGACTCCATCTACACTTCTTTCTGCCTTGGAAAGGCAGCCAATATCATCAAAGACCCCTCCCACCCTGGCTATAATCTCTTCTGACCTCCTACGTCAGGCAGAAGATACAAAAGCTTAAACACATGCACCAGCAGGTTCAAAAACAGCTTCTTCCCCTCTGTTGTTAGATTTCTGAATGGACCCCTCAAATCTCAAATGAAGTTAAATTGCCCATTTTTCATCTTGCTTTTTAACAGCAAAAATGTCTCCTTCATAGGCACACGACATAGGCATAATAGCAACTTTCTGATTTTTAAAAACCTTCGGTATAGTATCTTATCATGGAATAACATCACAAAGGAAACATTTGCATGACACTGAAGAAAGAGCATGGATATAAGACTGTTTGGATATTTCTAGAAACATGTCACATGGAAACGATGTGCTGAGTAGCTTCCCTGAGAGAGATTCTCTGAAAGATCGATGAAGTACAATCATGTTTATTAACACCAAGTGTCTAGGTATGGAAAGTGAAGTAATTTTTAACCATTTTTACTGCTTGAAGTACTCTCCCAAAATGAAGTCGAAGAAAGCTACTTAATCACTCAGGCCTCCAGTGTCTTCATGGTGGTTGAGTTTGATCAAATGAGGAAAAACCACATGGGGACAATTTTTTAATCTCTTTAAGCATTTACCTACAATATCTAGATTATGCATTAAAACGTCAATTTAAAGGGTTAAGATTAATGACTGTAAAAATCAATAAAACTGACTCTTACAAATGAACAACTTTTGTAAATAACACAGATGAACCTTTTAGTTTCTCTTGATAGTGATAGAATGATGAGTTTTGAGTTTATGCTGCATATAAAAGAGGAAGTTCCAGTAACTTGGTTACTTCCAGTAACAGTCTGTTGGTAAGGTCTGAAAATGAAAGCAAGATCTCTAGTTTAGTGAACAAATGAAGAAATGTTAGCTTAATTGAAGGAAAGGCAAGCCTTAAGTAGTAAGAAAATAATATCATAAAAATGTATAGAAGTGTACAGTGACATGATTGATTAATTTGGTACAAAATTCTAGTTAAAATATAAGTTTTATTGGTATTCCTTTGCAGTTACACAGCTCAGGAAATTGGAGCTTTCTGTTCTCCAGATTGACTTAAATGTGGTTTCAAAGTTGGCTTAATGGAGTTGGGGATAAAAACCTTCTGATCATTTGAATCAATGCTGGTAAATTTAAACAGTGCTCAGGAGGTCATGTGGACTCTCCTGAGACTTCTGGTGCTCAACTGTAAGATGTCAAACCCAACTGCTGTAGAACAGCTTCCCCCAGGGATGCACTATCATTCAGTAAATTCCACAGCCTCTTCTGTAAAAGGCAATCTAGTTCAGAATAGATCGTGTTTTTGCACATCACTATTATTGCATGCTTTCACGTGGACATTTGTCTCAAAATATAATGTAATTTAAGAGGTTGATTTTTCAATAATGCAAAAGTTGAACCACACTGCAACTTCAGCATTTCAAGCTGGAAACTTCGAAAATTGCATGATAAATAGAGCTAAATAATTTAGCACGAATGGCCACTTTCCAAACGACTGCCAAAAATATGCTGTCTCAGACAGTTCTAACAATTACATTATTTCCTGGACAATTAATCGACGTACCAGCATAACATCTCTTTTTACCCACTCACTTATCCTGTATGCACTAAAATTAAAATGAACTAAAATTAAACAAACTGCCCAAGATAACAGCGGTGGCAGAGTAGGTCATTTTAGATGAAGCTCGTCCTTTTCTTTTTTTCTCTTCCTCCTTCTTTCTTCTCCTGGCCTCGGACTCAGCACAGACCTGGTGAGGCAGCCTCCTGCATCGATTTGATGTGGCAGTGTCGCAGTCTAGCATGGTGGTCTTCCAGTGGTTCCTGACAGACTCTTGGCCCAGTGCAGCCTCAGTGCGGACTTCCAGTCTCGAGGTGATTCCTCATTCGTGCAAAACCGCTAGCCCCGTGGCTCAGCACTTAAGACTGTAATGTTTGAATTTTCAGCTTTATTTATTTATTTTCTAATTAAAACTAAGAAGGTCTGCAATGTGTAACTTTTAACCTTACTTCATATGTTTTACGCTGCTTTATAATTACCGCAATGTTTAACTTTTAATCTTGTTCATTCTTTCTACCTTGTTCTTAAGATTTTGTACCTAGGTACTTGTACCTACAATGGTGCCTGTGTGGTGACATTATACACTTTTCACTGTACTCCTGTACTTGAGTATACATGACAATAAAATCTAAATTGTCACATGGGATGAGGGCTTTCTTAAAGACGATGAATATGGTCAATGCACTATATTACCCACCGAGCACACATTTATCAGAAGTTAATTCTCTCAGAACACTGAAGAAGTATTTAAGTGTGCACTTGCATACAAAGCTACAGGCCAAGTACTACAAAATGGGATTAGAATGGTTAGGTGGTTGTTTCTGGCATGAATCTGATGGGCTGAAGAGCCTTTTTCTGTACTGCAGATCTTTACAAATGCTTATTCCTAATACAGCAACAAATCAATTGAATCAGGTTGGAATGCACTAATCAAACGCACAGCCCTTATAAATTCTGTGTTCACACTGTACGTGTTGAAATTTCCTTTGGAAACCTATCACCTTGTAACCCCGTAAGTGGTAGGGCTGCAACACATTCAGTTTTTGCATGTTTTGCTCCTTGGCCTGTAGTGCAGAGAAACCTCTTTACGGAGATCAATCCTATTTCTCTGCTTCTCATATTTTCCTGGGTTTTGAGTAATAAATAAACATAGGGCCATAATCCACAAAAATGGGGATTGCGCCTTACTGTAATTATTTCCTGCCTTCGCTTCCAATTTTCACAAAACCATCACTTTGTCTACACTATATGAGAGCAAATAATGAGTGTTCCATTGAAGTTCAGCAAGAATAACTGAAAAATCAAAACAACATTGGAATCGGTTACAACACTTTCATGAAACTCTTCCGCTGAGTAGAAAAAAGTAATTTATTTTTAACCTTAGATGCAACTACAGTTACAACGTTTAAAAGAGATTTGAACGGGGACATGAATAGGAAAGGTTTAGAGGGACATGGGCCAAATGCAGGCAAGTGGAAGTAGTTTGGGAAACCACTAGTGGTAATTTTAGTTTACTAGTGATAGTGGTAGTTAGGAAACTACTAGCATGGACTAGTGGGACTCTATCTATTATGGTGCAACTGGGCAAATGATTGTTTTCTGAACTAAGCGTGTGGCTCAGAATCTGGTTCTTCCGAGTTGTTTCTTTCACCTACATTAAGGGAACAACAGAAGTGGCAAGTCATATCTTACCACCATGGTTCTGAAAGTGGCTGCATAGGCAAGACATTCCCCTGGCAATGTAATGTTACTCCAAAGAAATATCACAACTCAAAAAAGTCTGTTTATTACATGATTCACACAAATAAAGGTAGAATACATAAAGAGTTGAGAAAATTTTAATTGCATCAAGTATGAAAATAAAATCAGTAGAAACAATTGAAACGAATCAATTATGAATATGCACAATTTTCTGTGAATTAAACACTGATTTCATTCGATGTAGATCTCTTTTCTTTATAACACCATCTAAACGTTCTTTCTGAAGACTTATGAGAAGTTTCAGATATTTAATATGATTTCCTTTCCTAACTGAAGAAAGGTTGCAGAGAAGGTGACTGTTGTTTGAACAGCACCAAGCACATATTACAAACTGATCATGTAGTCCAAACCTTTGTAAACTGCTTACTGTGCTCAAAATCTTTAAACACACACTGCCACAATAAAACACCAGCAGTGCAATCACAGAATCCAGAGTTTGCGAATAATTGAAAAAAAAGCATTACACACTGTTGTGGTTTGTTGTACACTGTTGGCACTTTCCCATTAAGCTTAGTTCCTCAAAATATCCAATGGCTCAGTAGCAATTTGTGTGCATGAAAAATTAGAAAATGTAATGGCTCTCATTCCATATCCTGCTTTGTCCACAAGTTCAAAGACAGCATTTTAAGTGCAATAAATACGACCCCTCCTAGTGGCAATACAAAAGCTTTGTGGCTTTTTTTTTCCCCAGAGTAAGGAGTTTCAGTTTATCATTTTCAAGATATAGAGTATTCCAATATTATCAATCGTTACATAGGTCTTGAAGTCAGATGAAACATGTATGGACTTCAGGTTTGTCCCATTTGTATAGAACGTCTGCAGAGATTCTCCTGTATTCATATCCCACCACTGTAAAAGGAAAAAAACATTTGTTTTAGTTGTGTTCACCTGTGAGCAACTGCTACCAATACTGATTTCTGAGGAAGGATCACCGGACCCGAAACATTAACTCCGTTTTCTCCTCCACAGATGCTGCCAGATCTGCTGAGCTTTTCCAGCAACTTTGTTTTTACTACCAATACTTGGTGGCACATGGAATAAAATCTTTCTCTGTTCTATTTTGAACATATCACCTCTACTGGTCATTGAGTAAGTAAGGTAAAAGACCAAGACCCACAACGCAGGATGGCCTCACTTACGCACATGCTTGAGTGAAATTTCAAAGTACTTCGTGATGAGCACAAAATAAACTTCCAACAAGGAGCTCACAATCTACTGTTTTGTGCAGTGTCTCCTGGAATGTCAGTAGTGAGCACCAAATGATACTTTGCTGCTCAGGCTTGGTTTCAGTTGTCAGCAAGCTTCAAACTGAATTGGCTGTTTTCTCAATATTCTAACAACATACTAAGGGATTGGTTAGCTTAGTTGGCAGGACTGCTCGTTTATGATGCCGAGTTACACCAACAGCATGGGTTTGATTCCTGCACTGGCTAAGGTTACCAAGAAGGACTCTCTTTTGCAATGTCTCCCCTCGCCTCAGTTTAAACTCACCTCCAGCCCAGTTCTCTAATGAGATAGCAGCCTATGGTCTGGTAGAATCATAGTGTCTTTAACCTTTAATAACATGCAAATCTCAGCTTAATGCTGAAAAATGTGCTAGGTGTAATTAAAGATAATTTAGCTCATGATAATATTTAAAAGAACCTATTTTACTTTTAAGTACATGTCCAATTTAGTTTGATTAAAAACAACACAAATATTTTGAAATCATATGCCTCTTTAAGCCCTTTAAAGTTCTTTAAGTGGATAGTGTGAAATGAAAACATTCCTGAGCCAATGTTGATGATCATTAATATCTTTCACCTTGTTACAGTTTGCACTGTAAGCATACCTACCTGCTTTCTCGAGCATAAATGTGTTATCATAGTGAAGCATTTATGCATATTTCAAAATAAAATGTCTAGCTTTAAAATTTATGTTCAACACTTTAGTCGTCTTTGTGATAAACCATCTTGAAATCTGAAAACCTTCAGTTAGAGCTCCCAAACACTTAAATAATGGCTCTATTTCTTATGACAGTTTGTACATGCAATAACCCATTTTGAATAATGCAGCTCATGAACAAATGTTCAGAATATCTGGGAAACATGCCAGATTTTCTAAGTGATTATTTTGTCTAATGTTTAGAAAGGGATAAAGGTCATTATCGGCATATTACAATAAAATGAGTATAAATGAATATAAAGATACAAAAAAAGCCTCAGGCTGACTAAGCTGATTTACCTTTTTTTGAACATTTCCACTGCTTTTAAAATTTATAAGAGAATATCTTCAATAACAAGGTGTAGAGCTGAATGAACACAGCAGGCCAAGCAGCATCACAGCAGCAGGAAAGCTGATGTTTCAGGTCTGGACCCTTGTTCAGAAATTATTTCTGAAGAAGGGTCCAGACCCAAAACGTCAGCTTTCCTGCTCCTCTGATGCTGCTTGGCCTGCTGTGTTCATCCAGCTCTACACCTTGTTATTGAAGATTCTCCAGCATCGGCAGTTCCTACTATCTCAGGAGAATATCTTTGTTTTCTTTTCATGTTTATTTTCCTATTGGCTGTAATGGGCCCTGTAAAACCATGTCCTTATTATTTTTTAAATGAGTAAGATGGTAGTCTTGTGCAAAACTGGTTCATCAGGGTAAATACTAAATTAGAAACCAAAGGAGATGATACTGACCCTGATCCAATACTGATCTACCATTTGAATGAATGGACTAGAAAACTTCCGCAATAGTGTGTGATATATGTTGGCAATGATGAAGCCAGGTTTCAAGAATCTAATTTATAAGGAAAAAACAAATTCATGCTTGTGGAAGGCTTTTTCTGGAGTTTTGCAGGGATCAGCATTGGGACCCTTGCTTTTCTTGATATGTATTCATGATCTAGATCTTGGTGTGCAGGGACAATTTCAAAGTTTGCAGACAATAAGAAATTCAGCAGAGGGGCTTGGGTGTACATGTGCACAGATCATTGAAGGTGCGGGAGAATAAAGACAGCAGTTAACAAAGTATACAGTAATAAAGGCTTTATTAATAGGCGTATAGCAAAGAGGTGATTTTGAACTTATATAAGACACTTGCTAGACCACAGGTGCAGTTTTGCGTACAGTGCTGGGTGCCACACTATAGGAAAAAATTCCCAAAATATTTCTCAAACATATTAAAGTATTTTTGAAGTGTTCTCATTCTTACCCTGTAGGAAACTCAGCAGGTCAGTGGTGCACAGCAAGGTTTCACAAACACTGATAATGTTGAATCAGAGATAGTAGGAACTGCAGATGCTGGAGAATCCGAGACAACAAGGTGCAGGGCTGGATGAACACAGCAGGCCAAGCAGCATCATAGGAGCAGAGAGCCTCTCTGCTCCTA